TGTGCGCGCCTCGGTGAGCGGAGGGACGGCGCAGAGGCCCAGACCCTCCGGCGGGGCGCAGCGCTACAAGCGGGAGGGGACCCCGAGGTGTGGGCCGCCTGCTCCTCCCCTCCTCACTTCCTGGCCCGGAGCGGTCACTTTCCTCTCCCGACCTTAGTTTCCCCAGCAGGGAGATGGAGGGAGCAAACTGCTGGGTAGCTTCTTGGTGTGGCTCCACTTCCCTGCTTGCTGAGAGGCAAGATCCCCAGGTGAGACAGGAGTTGCTGGAGAGAGCTGTCACCAGAATGGGAGCAGAGGGCAGGAGGACCGGGCCCCTCGGCTTGCCAAAGGCAAGCTAAGGAATTCTAAGGAAAGGCCCGCAGCAAACGGCTCAGGACAGACTGGCTTGCCGCTCATTCCCCACTCCTGGGGCACCACGACGCTGTTCTTGGAGAATCCCCACTCTCTGGCCAAGAGACTTGTGGGCCTCCGTTTCCTCATTTATCAGGGTGAAATTACCCCCTTCGAGTAAAGTGCTAAGCACTGTGCCATCCACATTGCTAAAAGCTCCCAGAATCTGAGCTGGAAATAAAGCCAGGAACTGCCCCAAGCTGCCACTGTGTCTCCTGTTTGACCAGACTCTTGGTCCTGGATGCTCCTGTTACCCAGCTCAGACCTGAGCTGCCGGGGTTGGTGGGTGGAGGGAGAACAAAGGGCCGTGCCCCTTCCTGTTTGGCTCGGCCACTCCAGCTCCACTGTGCCTGTCCAGCCCATCACCTACCCTCTGCTTCTCCTCCACTTGGTCCGGCCTCAGAGGGCCTTGCTGGCTCCAGGGGTGTCAGAGGCCAGCTAGGCCAGCCCTTACCTGCTCTGTTTTGTTTTGTTTTGTTTGTGGTGCCAGAAATGGAACCCAGGTCTTTCATAAAGCTGCCCCACCACTGAGCCACACCCCCAGGCTCCCTGCCTGTTTTATACCTGGGGAATCTGGGTCCAGAGAGTGGAGCAGCTGGTGCCAGGTCGCAAAGGGTGTCTGTGACTCAGTGGCCCCCTGCCTCCCTGCTTCCTGGAATTGCTTCTTGGAGAAGGGTCCCTGAGCACATCCAGCCCAATGATAGCTTTTTCCCATGTCATCTTTTTTTTTTTTTTTTCCTTCTTTCTTTCTGGTTTTTAAAGTTTAGCTGCAGTGCCCTCTACATGTACAAAATTTGCTCGACCCCCTCTGCCACAAGTGGGGAGACTGAAGCCTAGGACAGGACTCAAAGTCAGATTCCACGAGGGCACCTAGAGGAAGAGGGGCCGTGAGGCTCTGGCCAGGCCACCATCTTCCAGTCCCATCCAGCTGCCTGAATGAAGGCGCTGGAGGACAGGGTCCAGCCCGGTGTGTGTCTCCTTGAGGGCAGGGCCAGGAGCCATTTCGGAATTGCAGAGAGCAGCTGTGGAACAGCCTGCCTGCCTGCCTGCCTGAGGAGGGAACTCCCTGTCCCTGGGACATGACGACCAGGGCCACTTAGAATTTGCCTTCGGTCCCAGTCTCAGCCCTTCCCCACTGTCTGAGCCCCACTTAATGCCAGCTGCACTAGGAGCTTGTTTTGCCACGTTCAGAATTTGCCCTACTTTCTCATCTACTTCATGAACCTCCTTCCCCATGAGGCACAGGTTCTTCCCATTTACAGGTGGGAAAATGGAGACCCAGGGGCTCGAGCGAGTTGCCCTGAGTCACTACCCTCTTGGCAGTTCAGTTCTGCAACTGAGTTGAGTACCTAGTGTGTGCCAGGTCGTATGTACCAAACCGGATACTGATCAGGGCCTGATCCCTGCCCAATGGGCTGTGGGCTCCTTGGGGACTCAACAGTGACTGTCAAGCTCACCCTGGTACCTCAGGGCTTACTTGGCTCAGAGGTACTCAGTGAACATCTGTGTAAGAAACCCCGGAATGAATGAACAAATGAATGAATGAGGAGACTGTGGAAGAGTCAAGGAGTCTGGAGCTGGAGACCTGAGCTAGGTCCCTGCTGCTTAGGTCCTTGAGCACGAACAAGGGCAACTACCCCTTATTACCACCTGTGTGCTTTTCCAACCTCAGAGTCCCAAGGCCTCTCACCAAGGAATTGTGAAGCCCTTTACAGAGGAGGAAACAGAGGCTCAGAGAAGACAAGTTACTGGCCCCAGGTCATCTAGAAATAGACTCAGAACCCAGTGTCCTTTGCTCCCCAGAGCCAAGCGGGCTGACTCTCACCCTGGCCCTGACGCCGCTATCCCCACAGGTGGCGTGAGTGTGGATGACTTCCGGAAGGTGCTGATGAAGACAGGCCTGGTGCTGGTGGTGCTGGGCCACGTGAGCTTCATTGCAGCTGCCATCCTCCACGGCACCGTGCTGCGCTACGTGACTACACCCCATGATGCGGTGGCTCTGCAGTACTGTGTGGTCAACATCGTGTCGGTCACTTCTGCCATTGTGGTACGGCCAGCCTAGGAGGGTGGCTGGCAGGAGGAGGGGCTTGAAAGGTCTTGGAGTTCTCACCGGCACTTGGGTGGGTTAGCAGGGAGCTGCAAGCACCAATCCGTGATGCCACTTACCAACTGTTTGCCTCAGTTTCCCATCTAGAAAATGAGGATGGTGGGAACATCCACCTCAGAGGGTCCTGGCGAGTACTGGTGAAATCATCCACTGTGTTTAGTACAGTGCCTAGCACATGGCTAGTGAGCTACTGTGAGTTGGAGTCGTTATTGCTCTAGAAAAATACTCAAGGTCCCCCTGGACAAAAGGAAGGAACATCAGGGCAGCTTGGGAAGGTCCAGAAGGAGTTCACAGATGGGCTGCAATCACTAACCCAAGGGTGTGGCGCACTTGGGTTTCCAGATAGAAAGGGAGCTGGGTTGGCACTCAGTGCACCAAGTATGGCACACACGAGGGTGTGGGAGGTGGGAATGGCTAAGATCTGTTCTAGAGATACTCGGAAAAGCAATTGGCAGGAGCTTAGCACACACCTGCTCTATAGCAACCGCTCAATAAAGGGTAGCCATGTTCTGTTTGGCTGCGAGCCCCCATTTGATGACCACAGAAATGAAGGGGACTGGCATTCGCATATTTACAAGGTCTTTCCCGACTGTCGAAGAGGCGGCCACAACCTTGGGGGACACATCAGAGTCTGAGTTCCATCTGGGCCTCCTCCCAGATGAGAGGCTTCTCTCGACACCTGTTGTCTGCCTGCAGAATGAAGGTTAGGGGTCTGCTGCCTCCCGGCCACACAAGGAGGAGCAGCTCCACCAGTGGCACAGGGCAATGAAGGCGCCTGCGGTGGCCTTGGTGTCCTGGTCGTTTGTCTCTCCCAGCAGCTGTGTGAGGAAGGCAGGGAAGGTCACAGGGATGGGCTCCGGGCTGGACAACTTCACCTTTGCCCTCCTTTACACAGGGCGAGTAAATTCTCCTGGCAACACTTTACAAAGGAGGAAATCAAGACTCTGGGCTTTACCAACCTCCTGCTCACACAGAGAAGCCAAACCTATTGGCACGTGTTTAGGTCTGAGCTTTAAAAGCCAGCTAGCTCATCCTGCAGAGGAAGGCTTGACCCAGAGAGGTTGAAGCCCGTAGGTGGCTGCCCAGTGAAATAAAGCTGTTGCTGAAGCCCTGTGGTGTCACACCTGCTACAGTGAGGGAACCTGAGGGGAAGACAGGGTCCTGTGTCTCGGGACTGAGGGGTGGTCTGGAAGCCAGAACGAGGCAGGGTCTTCACAGAGAAGGAGCAAGGAGGGTGCTCCCGGCAGCATCCGAAGCAGGTTGCACATGGGTGGCCGTGTGAGGGCCATGAGGAAGGACAGTGGCCCAGGGAGGGCCAGCCCATGGGAGTGGACCTAGCTCCCTGAGAATAACCAGTTATCCTCCGGAGTTTGAATTCTATTCCATAAAGTACCCTGGGGTATTTGAATATAATAACTTTGGTTTTAGCTCCCCGCTAGTTGAGCTCCTTGGTTTTTTCCAGTCTCTTCCATTCCAGGGAGCTGTCACATGTATCCTGTACACCCCAGCATGACCCTGCAGGCCTGGCATATACAGATCCCCTGTTCCAAACTCACCTGTAGACAGTGGGGAGTCATGGAAGGTTGTAGGCAGGGAGTGACTGTGCTTTAGAAATAATGCACAAGGCTGGACCTGGAGGAGGCAATGCCTCTGCACAGATGGAGGTAACGAGGCCTGAGCTAGGGGTGGGGAGAGGTGGCATGGTGGAGTCTCTCCAGGGTGGTCCTGACCCCTGTTCTGCTCCGGCATGGGGGCCAGAGTTGACCTGAGCCTCCTCCCCAGGTCATCTCCTCTGGCATTGCAGCCATCGTGTTGTCACGCTACCTCCCCAGCACCGCTCTGGTATGTGGCGCTTCCTGGGATGGGGCTGTAGAGTTAGGGCTCCAGCAACCACCCTGGGCCTAGACCTAGGGGATTGCGGGGTGCACTTGACCATTAGGGAGGCTGGAGCTGCCCCGGGGGTCAAGCCTGACGTCCACTGACCCGCGGCCTCTCTCTTATCCAGCGCTGGACAGTGTTCAGCTCCAGTGTGGCCTGTGCTCTTCTCTCTCTGATCTGTGCGCTTGGCCTCTTGGCCTCGATCGCAGTGACCTTTGCTACCCAGGGCCGGGCACTGCTAGCTGTCTGCACTTTTGGGAACCCTGACCTGCTGGCACTCACACCCGACTGTCCCTTTGACCCCACGCGCATTTACGTGAGTTCCTCAGCCTGGGATGGGAGGATCCCAGCCCTTTGACCCCTTGATGGAGTGGGCAGGGCTTGGGGACTGCTGCCCTCCAGCCCCAGCCCCATGTAGCCATCTCTGCCCCGTGTGCCCTGCAGAGCTCCAGCCTGTGCCTTTGGGGCATCTCACTGGTGCTCTGCGTGGCAGAGAGTGTGTTTGCAGTGCGCTGCATCCAGCTGGTCCACCAGGTGCTGGAGCTGAGGCCCTGGTGGGGGAAAAGCAGCCATCACATGGTAAGTCCCCACCACGGTCCTGACACCCCCGTTACCTGGGAGGACTTGCTGGGGAGCCCAGATTGGTCTGCCCTACCCGCCTGAATGAGGCCCTCTCTTGAGAACGGGAACACAAGTTTTCTCCCCAGGACTAAAGGGAGAGGTGTGGCGGTTCAGAGAGGCCAGATTTCCAGCTAAGTCACAGAGCATCTAGCCTGGAACAAGGGATGCTCCAGGGGTCTGGTCTAGCTCTTGCCCAGGGGGTAGTGACCCCTTTCCACCCTTTACCCCATCCTCCGAGTGTCCTGAAGGAGACCTGGCCCAGACCCAGTGACAGCGACTGCTGTGTCCACAGATGCAGGAGAGCCCAGAGCTCATGGAGGGCCCTGTCCTGATGAGCTGCACCAGCTCTGTGCCGCTGACCCTCTGAGAGCGATGCCTCATCCAGCCCTGTGGCCGCTGGACCTACAACCAAGCCTGCACTGTGACTGGTGCCCAGATGGCCCCGGATCCTGGAGCCAACCCAAAAGGGCTTAGTGGATCCTTGGGGACCCAGGCGGGGGTACAGCCCTGGCCCCAGCCACCTAGCCCACTGCACTGAAATGAAACTTTATTCAGAAGTTATTAAAAAGAACAAAGATGCTTCATGTGGCTGCATGCAGGGTGAGGATGGGGTTTGGCCAGGGGCCTGCACTTCTTTCCCACACAGGACACAGTAGAGAGGCTCTGTGTGTGTGTGTGTGTGTGTGTGTGTGTGGAGAGAGAGAGAGAGAGAGAGAGAGAGAGAGAGCAGCCAATACAGAGGGGTAGATCGTGGTTTGTGCAGCTGGCTGTGTCCATCTTGAGTGCAAAAGGCAGGCAGGTTCACAGGACCCACAGCCGTTTCCATTTGTGTCATGGCCTCCAGCCAAGCAGGAGCTGGGGCAGGCAGGGTGGGGGCCTTGTGCAGGGAAAGGGGACTCAAGGAAGCTTTTGTCTCAAACCCCCACAACCCTGGAATCCTCCTCTCTCCTCTCCCCTCCAAGTAAAAACACTGGCTCAAGTCACCTGAGCCGACTCCCCACTGCCCCTCAGGCTGAGCCCCACGAGAAGCAAGCCTTCCGCGGGCGGGGAGGGGTCTGGCCTCAGGGCTATGGGCGGGTGGGAGAAGGTTGCGCATCAAGGTGAGGGCACCTGGCTCTGAGGGGCAGGCAGGCCCGAGCCTGTCTCTGCCACTGCCGAAGGGGATGCTACCAGCTGGCTTTCGGGCGCCTTCCTTACAGGGTCCCTGCTCCAGAGGCCCCCAGCAGTACAGACCCGCGGGGGCGGGCCCCCAGTCTGGCCCCCAGCCTGGATAGACACAAGGGAGAGGAAGCTGAGAGCCGGGTGGGACCGGTGAAGGCAGGGATGAGGGGGGCCTGGCTCCTCTCCTCAGAACTGGGAGGCGCTGCTGGGGTCGCACTGCAGCAGGCGCACGATGGACGGGTCGCTCTTGGCCCCACGGATGAACTCCTCCAGGGACAGCTTGCCTGCGGGGCGAGGAGAGCTGTGACGGGGCCTGCGGCCGCGGGGCGCGGGGAGGTGGGGCGCAGAGGGAAGGAGGGGGCGCCGCCCGCCAGCCCCGCCCCGGCACCCTCACCGTCGTTGTTGGTGTCCATCTGGCGGAAGATTTTCTCAGTCCTCTTTTCCGGGGTCGACTCGTCCTCCGGCATCTTCATCACGGACGAAACCATCTTGTAAATGGCCTGGGGGTCGGGAGGGAAGGCAGGGAGTGAGAAGAGCCCCCAGCCCCAGACCCGGAACATCCCGGGCGCGCCCGCCAGACCTGGCGAGGCGGAGGGGAGCCCCCCGAGGGCTTGGAGAGCAGGCGCCCGGGTGATGCTTTCCGGAAGAGGGCGATATTGGGGCAGGCCCTGGCCGAAGTCCTCGGAAGCGTAGGTGGGGAAGGAGTTGCTGGCTGAGGGAGCCGCGCGCACAAAGGTAAAGCAGCGTGAAAACTCCGAACAGGCGCCAAGAATTGGGGGGTTCGGGAAATCAGAAGAGAGGTTGGAGGACGTTTAGGCCCAGATACCCAAGGGCCTAGAACTCTGCGCTCGGGCCTGGGGCACAGGTTTGTGGGGACCACGCTAGCGCCACCCCTCAGAATCACCCAGGCCTTCCTCAACCCGCCCTCGGTGGCTGACTGGGGGGCACCAAGCTGAGGGGTGCCACTGGACTGCGTTGCCGTCTATGGCCCGTAGGGGGCGCAGGGCTACGTTGAGGCGGCTGGGGGCCCACAGGGGCAGGAACATTATACAAACGAATGCAAATGAGCATCTGCTAGCGGGCTGGGACCGCCTGAGCTCCTCTGGGCTGAGGGCGGCAGCTGCCACGTGCAGGAGCTCCTGGGGCGAGGCGAAGGAGGATTGTCGTGCTAAATGTACAGAGCACCTAGTGCGTGGCCCATGGGACTGAGAGCTGGGTCTCTGCGTCCCAGAGCTCAAAGACCCCCACTGATCGCCTCAACTTTCTAGCTTTTCCAGACTGACACCTCCAAAAAAAATCTCCCTTCTCCCACCCCGCAAACTTGCCCGCCTGAGGGCCAGCCTCTGCCACTGTGCTGCTCTTTTCTGTTCTCCTTCCTTCGGGTCTGTCCCCACACTGCCTCTAAATCTCTTTCCAAACACAGATCTCCCCTGCCACATCCTGGTCCAGCCGGCTGCCCCCTCACTTCCTTCCATCACACACAGGCCTCCCTCCAGGCCGCTGTGCACCCAGCTCCTTCTGGATGCTTCCCCACGCTCCTTCTGCCGCCTCCCACTCCTCCTTGAAGCTCGGTTTACCCGGTGCTTTCTTAGTGAGGCCTTCTCTGACCCAGGCTGAGTCGGGGCACACGCAGCCCAGAGCCCCGGGGCTTGTCCTTGGAGGACACCTCTCATGAAGTAATTATGTGTCTATAGAACTGTGTCTAGTCCCTACAGTACAGATAAGAACCTGGGACACTAGCTAGTGCCCACATCCTCAGAACCTAGTCCAGTGCCTGGCACCTGGCAGGCACTTTCCCATTTAAAGGCCGTTGGCACCTCACACCGCCTTCTGTACCAAGTCCAAATCATTTGGTCACAGTTTGCCTGTTCTGACTATGCCACTATCAGCCCCTTCCCGAGGAGTAAATCTACCACAACCAAACACCCTGGACCCTTCAGATTTCCCAGCATTCACAATCTTTGCCTGGAATAACACTACTAGCTACCATTTATCAGACAACTACAATGTGTCAGGTCCTTTATGTGCATTATTCTAAATTTCACAACAGCCCCAACAATCTCCACTTTCCAGATAAGAAACCAAAGCTTAGGGGACCGTAGATTTAGCTCAGTAGTTCTGCCACCCGCCTTGCAAGTGCAAGGTCCTGAGTTTGATTCCCAGTACCAAAAAAAAAAAAAAAAAAAGAAAGAAAGAAAAAAGAAAAAGAAACCAGCCGGGCATGGTGGCTCATGCCTGTAATCCCAGCACTCAGGAGGCTGAGGCAGGAGGATCATCACTATGAGTTCGAGACCAGCCTGGGCTACATAGTGAATTCCAGGTCAGTCTCAACTACATAGTGAGACCCTGTCTCAAAAAAAAGAAAAAAAGAAAAAGAAACCAAAGCTCAGGAAAGGAATGAATGGTAGAGATCAGATTTTTTTTTTTTTTTCAGATTTGAACCTGCTCCTCGTAGCTGCTAGATGGATGCTTGGGCAATGTGGGCTTTGATGTAAGATGGACCTGCAGCAGCATCCTGGTCCTTTACTCGCAGTGTAGCCTTGGGCAAGTATTTAACTTCCATGTGCCTCAGTTTCCATCTGTAAAATGGGAATAACTGTTTCTCCCTCATTAGGATTTTCTAGAGGATTAAATGAGATGCATAGCTGGAATAGTGGCTGGCTATAGTAAGTGTTCATTAAATAGTGCCTCATATGATAGGCTTTTTCATCGACCATGTCCTCAGTTTACCCCATCTCTCAGTCTCCCAGGCTCCCAGATGTCACCTGTCACTGAGCTGGTCAGTGTAGCCTGCACAGTGATCTTTGCCCCTAGGGTGGGAGCCCCAGGAGGCACAGTCTCTTCCCTGCCATTGTGCCAACCACCTGGCACTGGACTGTGTCCTGAGAAGGACTGAGCAGTGATTTACAGAGTGACCATGCTCCCTGCAACAACCCTTCTCCTGGGCTTCCTAATTAATTGTCAGGAATTGTCTGCCCACTCATAGTTCACTGGAGTCTATTTGTCATTAATCAGACACTGAGGTTTGCAGAGATGTCTGCACCAGTTGTCTGAGGCCTGTGTCTGCTGTAACAGAAGACAAAACCCTGTAGCTGAACCAGCCAGAAAGGGGTCCTGGGGATGCCAAGGAAGGGGGCTGGTGTGAGTGCTGCACAGGCTGTGGTGGCTGAGGCAGGACTGAGTTAGCAACACACACAGTGCAACCACTCACATTCAGTGGTAGAGCATGAGCCTCCCTGGGAGCCGTTGGTACCCAGCTGATTCCCTAGTGCTCCCCCACCCTGCCTGCCATGACCCTCCCACGAGGACCCCTAGAGTGGGAGTTAATGCCTGGCCCCTAGCAATCAGTAACACTGAGGCAGTAGGCACAGGAAGGGCATCGCTTGCCGAGGCAGCCATTCCGCTCCAGCCGGACAGCCTGGATCCATACGCTTAGCAAGAGACACCAACGTCAGAGTCCACTTGGGGCTGGATGAGAGGGAAGGAGGAGAAGCCTGCAGAATTGAGGGACTGGATGGGAAAGAATTCAGAGAAGCAGAAGGAGAGGGCAAGGGCTCGAGAAAGTGATGCAGTGGCTTTGCCCAGAGCACATTTCAGGGATGCTAGAAAAGCCATCCTGGCTAAAGCAGAGGATGCATGGAGGAGAAATCATGACTGACGGTTGCTAATGCTTACTGAGGACCAACTGCATGCTGGGCCCTTTGCTAGAACCTCCAACCCACTCTGCCCCTGCCATAGCCTGGGGAGTAGGGGCTTGACACCTCCCCACACACAAACTACTGTGAAGAAAGCTGTAAAGGCTTAGGGGGGAGAGGGCAAGGAACTAGATAGTTCAAAGAGAACCAAGGCTCTGACCACCTTCAGTGCTGGCTGAGGAGAGGAGTGTTCCGGGAGACTTTTGCAAATTAAGCTAATTGATCATGCTTAAGTTTGTACTCAAAAGAGCACACCTATCAGGCCCTTAAATCTTGTCCTATCAGAAGAGCAACCTAAGAGTTCAGACCAACTCCAGAACTGGAAGCCAGAACTCCTAGCTAGGAGTCCAGAGCCCTCACAAAAGGCAGCTCTGGGTGAGGCTAGCCTAAGCCTGGTTTAAGTACTGTGTGACTGGGCAAGTCCCTCCACTTCGCCAAGCCTGTAGAGTTGTAGTAAGGAAGCACGGAGTTCATGGGTATAGCGTACCTCACTGGCTAGGGGGCTGCTGATGGTCTCTGTATTGGAAAGTGGCTAAGTATCCAGATGCAATGTGGGCATTAGAGCCAGCTGGTCCTGTGTGGCCTCAAGCAAGTGCCT